ATCTGTTAGTTGATAAGCGTCGACTCTCATCAGGATCTCAATGAATGGCTGAAAATAATGACAAGCTCTTTAGTATGACAAGCATTAGGATGAGGAGTAATACCCGAACAAGATAGTCGATAAAGCCTAACTGGGATACAGGTAAATCCACTTTCTCTCTGTCACATAAGGGTGATACTGCAACTGAATGATAATAACAATAATATGGGGTACAGAGATGATGCAGCAGCAGCAGCAAAGAGAGCAGCGATAACCCATAGTGAAGGATCAGCCTCAAGGGATGGGTCAAATATTGGAATTTGTTATAACAGATCTCAATTACGGATACATCTTCTGCAGGCCGCCGCCGCCGACTACCACACATGACATAGTGAGGGTACGTACGGTGCTGTCCACATAGGACCACGATAATAGCTCGTCATACACCCTCTTCCGATGAGTACTACCATGTAACTGTTTCTCGAGATCCCCTTGTTTGAAGAACTCCTCAGCCAATCGAAGAGATAGTTCATAATGTTGATCCCATGGTAGACAGGTATGACCGATATCGGCAGCCTATTATTATCATCCCAATACCGACTACACATGTTATAGGGCTACTTTAATGCAGGCTTTGAAGATAAGTTGTCGATCATCATCATTCTTGGACTCATTGATAGCAGTCCTACATCGAAATAAGCCCGAATATAAATGTAACAGCCATACTTCTAATACTACCTAAACTGTGGACTCTGCAGTACAATACGTAAATCCGCCATGATTGCAAAGTGTTTGGCCATATCAGTAGCAAGAATGAGCTCAATGACGAGGAACCTGCTTAGAGGCACTAGTAGTAGTAGCCTACTGAAGTGCACACTACCAACCTAAAACGCTTGCTGCCTTCGCTTGTTAAATCTTCCAATATGTTACATTCAGGGAAGTCCTCCATCATCTCGAAGGTTGTTGCTGCATGGAACTGTTCTAGAACTGACTTGTCGTTATATCTAACAAACCTTGGTAATAATAATGACCACAGTGGTCTATAGTGATCACTACCTCAGGGCAAGGCAATCTCGTGTTTCAATATAGAATGCATTATTCTTGCCACTATGACCAACATCATGACATATACAGGCCACAAGGTAAGCTGTATGGTCCAATGCACTTACTGGTATCCCTGTAGCTCGGAATAGATACTCTCCATGAGATGTGACCTATAGGTCAAAGCGGCGCACACAATACCGTGTTTATAGTACAAATACCTGGGCAGCGTGAGACTGATTGTGATACTCAACATCGGTGTATAATGCTGATATCCGATTCAAGAACTTGTTTAGCGTTCCCTTATTTATTCTCATTGATTCTAGAGGCATCACCAATGTTACCTGAGTATTTAACATTCACATAATAGTGACAATGCATTATCATTATTACTCGACTGGCTATCAATGGTAATACCGGTATATGACAAAGGTGTACCTCCTGTAGTTCAAGCACATTTAAATTGAAATCATGCCCAGCTTCCTAAACAGTACAAGTATAACAGCAGAAAGCGGAGCGATCACCACCCGCTACCTGTAGCATATCGAATGCTCGTGGTGTGATATGTTCTAGACGAGTGGTATCGGGAGACACTGAAAAGAGCATGATACTGACTAGAGGAATATCAAGGGAGTCCTACACTGTGAAGTAGTGAGTGATTTCATCAGCTGATGATGATGATTATGATAATGAAGATGGTAATGATACTGTTGAGGCATGTACATCCCATTGATGACCTATACAATCGAGACCGTCGGGGGTGGGAGGGGGAGTATTGATATCATATACTTGATTGATATAGTTGATAAAGTCACGTCCACTCTCATCACTGCTCAGACTACTATCATTGTGTAATACCTGAGCAAACCCTTGAGCTACTAACCGCCTACTCATTCTACTAGTCACCAGTCTATCCCTAGCAGCAGCCGCCCTAGACAGTGTCCTCACTGACTCCTTTATCAATGTAGTGGCCTAAGCATCGACGACCATTCATCATCAGATGAGAGCTTGATAATCCTCCCATGTCACGACTATTTTCCTCACCTTTTACGAGTCTATGCCCAACTAATGAGACCATACTACCCAATAAGCATACCACTATTACCTCAAGTATCCTATCCCTATTGTCGTCAGTGTGTGGATATAACTCAGTCGATATACGATCCTCACTAGACTCCCTTTCGTCCCCTGCTACTGTTGCTATCCCCTCAGACTGCTGTACGCATCCACCTGATATCATACATTCATAGATGGGCCAACTTGTATAGAATACTACTCATCATTTCCAGTATATTGAGGGCAAAGCCTACGTCAGTTACTGCTTTCTCAAAGTTAGTGATAGGTCCGTAGCCATTAGTATGGTCGGCGTCGTCGCCTTCTTTCAATGTCCTAATTGCCTGTTGGAGAATCTGAAGATAGTAGAAGACATAATACAGTGTTGAGTGCAGCATCATCATCATGAACCCTTACCTTTGTCTTCCGAACAGACACATTAGTAGCAATGAACTGCGAACGCCTACTTCTCTCAAGGGTAACTCCCCCTAAGAATACTACTAGGATAGAGGCAGCAGATGGTGATACTACCAGCTGTGACCATGGCTACCAATACGATAAGCATTATTGACTGAGAGAAGGGATCATCTGTGTTAGGTAATCCAAGTATTATGCTAGTACTAATATACCTAAGGTCTAGTGATAATAGTAATGAGAAAGGGCTATTACGATAGACAGACAGTGACTGCCAATGATATTGACAATCGTACCCGAGATGGAGTCCACACACAGAAGTATCTATGATTCGAATGATACGGAGTAGGTACTACAGACCTACATCACAACTGAATTCAATACTAGTAGTAGACCCGCATCGCTAGTATAGGGTAGTGTCTGGTCATCTAACCCTTCTCCAAAAGGCTGAGCAGTGGAGGCATGACAGTTCGAGGAGAGAGGTACTCACTATCGCAGGATCATAACCAAATACTTTAGCACATCTCCATCTATTACTGAATATAACTCCTATCCATATACCGAGGTTCAGCCAGCTTTGAGCTATTACCTGATATTACGATGATTCTAATGAATGGACCATACATACACTTCGAGATTACTTCGATATGTATGGCACGTATAGCACGAATGGGAGCTATACATAGTATGAACATAGCAATACTAGAGAGGGCCTAAAGCTCCACAGTTATCACGGTCCATGTAAGGGTTAGAAGTAGTACATGGTAGATCCATGAGAGGTTAAATAGTGTATTAGCAGGAGTATGCCATTGTGTTATGCATGGTGTAGGAATAAAACAGTCGGAGAAGCCGAAAGAATATATGGAGTAACTAATGGTTATGCTAAGTACTTAGCTGTATTGTTATAAGTAGGTACATAAAGAGCACTACAACAACTGGAACAATACGTGTCCTTAGCATTGGGTCAATAACGGTCTTCACGTATCTAGGAATAACGCCTTCTGCGTACAACTCGATCATCATCATGATCCGATTACTCAGCTTCTATCCTATCATTGTCGAATTTCATCAGTCCCTTGGTAATTCTAGTTTTCTCGAGATCCTCCTACACCCAAGGAACATGACCAGAGATAATGATGGGTATTCGATACCACTCCCCTTTGAAGTTCCTTTATTTCCAATACTTCCTCTATCGTAGGCCCAACCTATTAGGAAGCCTCACCAAGAGCTCACTAGGGCCGTCCTATTACTTTGCCCGTAGAAGACTCACTAGCCCCTGTAGATGCTGTCGATAGACTACGACACCTTCCTTTACAGACGGTCTGAGGTGTGTCTACCTCTACTGCTGCACCAGGCAAGACCGGAGGATTAAACTTTGTACCATCACCGATCGAAGAGGTAGTAGAATGTGACACCGGTAGTGATGACATAGTTACCCAATAATACTGAGCAGTGTGATGAACCCAGTGAATTCGGGCAGGTAGTACAGACTGTAGTAAATCCTACACTTATCCACTTCCCTGATACCATCCCTGAGCATACCAACTATTCAACACATGTCTCCACGGGTTGAAGGACTGTACCCAGTACAAGACTAGCACCATGAAACCCTAGGACACGTCTCCTGCCGACAATATAACCTACGGGAAATTAGGCCGAGCTCAGATTCGCGTGCTTCATCCTATACAGTCTTTGAATTAACAATGAAGGGCGAGCGAGATAATATCGCGCAAAGGGCTCGAACCGAGCTTCGCTCCGCCGCTCTGCTGGCTCGAGTAGACAAAAACGATGGATTTCACTCGTTCGTGATGCACAGGGCTCCTGTGCATGTTATCTGCGTATCTATCATCAACTTCTACAAGTAGCACAGTAATTATAAGTAAGTTAACTCCACGATGCGTTATCCCAACAGCACCATATACGGCACAAACCGGGGTCTCCGATATTTAACCTTTTGTGGATGTATGGTGTTGTCTCCGTTATAGGGGTCATCTGGCGATTGGTCACGAGGCCCGTAATGGCTCCCAACAGACATACTTCACCGTCTATAGTATAGGGCTTGTGGGTCTTTCCTCAACTATGGATAGCTCTCAGCATGGTGAAGCGCCCTCATGGAGACATGATGGCCGAAACCCTCGTGATAAGACTACCATACGCCCTATGGCCAGTAGAGATGACCTTGTACGAGGGTTTATGGGGAGGTAGTAGGAGGAGGACGTTATCTCATCGATATCACAGTCATTGTATAGATCTGATAAGACCAGGCTCACACAGGATGGGCGTCATCATCATGAGATGCGATATGACTGGGTGATAATCCTAATGAAAGCGATCATCATCTACAGTCTCCTGGCTGATCTCAGATGTTGGTATTAGCCTTGTCTAATGAGGATAATCGTTCCCCTAACAAGGATGGTAGTGAACGGTCTGTTACAGAGAGTGAGGCAGTTGAGCTGTACTCATCACTGCATCATACAGCATCTACAGTCATATCGATGTAACGAGGTACGCCAAGTGCTTTCGAGGGGAGGATCTATTGGAACTAGGACAGTCCCGACAGAAGGACCAACTAGAAGTGGAGAAGTCTGCCTTTGTGATGGGATCACTGTGCTGTGTTTGGATCCATCCTGATGTGCTTAGTTGGAGGCCTTTCGGCATCTCCCATCGGTATCCTCGAGCTCCTCCTATAATCATAGTCATGGTAGTAGTCGCGCTACATGGTCGGATACTCTGACCTTGTTTCGGAATGTAATAGCGATATCATAATATCATCAGTCTATGAAGGATAGACACTCCATGATCATCCCAGGTAATAATTACCAAACTATACCTCCATTGTGGTCTCGAAGTGTCATACGAAGGAGATGTAGATAACGGTGATACCTCTGTCCTAGTTGTAGGATATCAACTATCATCTTACTCTATCTCTTTTTCTTATGTAGGTCAGTACCACGGTGAGATCTCTTACTAGAGAGGCTGATAAAAGCGGCTTCCCAACAGAACTTAGTAGACGTCTAACAGATCCAGAGAGTTTGGCTCCATGTACTCGACGGGAGCATTACTCATACTATCCCCTTTCATCAAGGTTGCCCTCTTACCTTTACACCTCTGTCACATTATTATCTACTCCTACCAGTAATACCCGATCCTGAAGTGTTGAAGGCTTTTACTGAGGTCACTGGCATGTCGAATATGCATGTGTAATAGTAGTCGGGGCGCTTGTCTAGGTCGTCGAGACATTCGATAACTCTCCACCCGAATTGCAGCAGCGATACAATGCAGAAGTTAACCTATACCGGTCCATCTATACACTGACGATGACTAAGCTCAAAGAAGAGCAACAATGTGGGAGTGTGGACAATGCTAGGGTACATGAAGAATGATACAGATAATGATACATGTGTTGCACATGTAACTGGACATAAGGAGGTGGAGCACGATAGTGGTGAAGGATTGTTCGAATATAACTTTGGTAGGGCTTATATGTCTAGAGGGATAACTGATAGTATCGTTAAAGAATACTACACAAGGTGATAGAATAGTGATGGTATGCTGGATGATGGACACTCTGGCAGCTGCTGTTGTTCATCATGGATAGGTATTTGCGTCTAAGGGCGATGCATGGCCTTATGTTGCACCCTAGGGAGACTCTTCGGATGGTTAATGATGAGTTTGGTAGTGAGACCAGGATGAAGGCTCACCTTTGTCACCAGGGTTGCCATATGCACCAACGCACAGTAGTGGCAGAGATGTTGAATATCATCGCTTTGTAGGCTTATCATCATCAGGAGGGAGGCTACTTTGGAGGGGGTACTATGATGCCTATATTGGTTAATCTATGGAGTGCAATAGGCCTACGATCACCTTTACCAGCTTATAGAGCATATGAAGCCGGCATGGTAGTATCAACGAAGGCATGCTGCTCTATATGCTACTCATTTACCAGGATCCTAAAGTATGGAGGATGCATCCATGTGTTATAACAGGACCAACATCTAGTAGGATCATCCTCACATGAGCAGTGTGGGTATTCTCATATAGATGTGACTATGAAGCAGCAGGAAGAGGAGGAGGTAGTGTTGCATTCCCCTTGGGAGGCTGTCCAAAGATTGAAGTTAGTGGATAATATGATACGTCGTCAATTGGATATAGATAATCTATCAGCATCTGGTATGTAGTAGAGACTAATGCACTACTGCTCATCTATACAGGTATATTGACCGATATCTTCCCTCTAGATGATCGTAGTAAACTCTATCGAGATCATACATCTAGTAAGATCCAGGGAAAATCTATAACTCGTATAATCATGATCGCAGCCTCGGCCCCATCCGACATTGCCACCTGTTGGGCTATTCCAGAGCATATGAACTCCGTATTATCGAAGATCCGGTACGTTGACTCATCAAAGTAGTTTTCCATGTCATCGTGCTCTATGATGACTGTTAGACTCTTCTTCATTGGCGAGGGCAACCCTAGTATTGAGGCTATCAGGGATTACTATGGCGACAAAGTGGCATTGTACTTCGCCTTCCTGTAGTGATAACAGATGATGATAATATCACCTATAGAGTAGATACACCCTTTGTTGGTGGTTACTGCCTCCAGCTGGTATTGGTATCATATGCTTTATAGTACAGCAGATCTACTGGCTTCCAACAGACTCAGCTACCAAACCATGGAGGATCGTCATGGACTCTTTATATGCCTTTATAATAGCGGTACAGAGGAAGTACTCCCTCTTGCTGGCTATTACAACGCTAGGTGTGGGCTACATTATTCCTAGAGGCTTGGAAAAGACAACAGACATGGTTTACATATAGATGGGGTCAACTTGTAGAGGCTGTTAGGGAGCCTAACCGGCCCCACTTCAAGGGTATCTTCATCATAGCCATCATTGTCAAACATCATGTATAGGTATACTACGTCGTAGTCCTGTTGATTACCATGATGACGATCTCTTCTTCGACCCAAGGGTATAGACCCCTCTAACGTATCGACCTCAATACTACCCTACAGATACGTCTCATCAGACAGGTTGTATCAGCCGGGGTATTGGCTGTGATAGCAGGGATAATGATAACCCTTACAGGGTTAGTAGCCTCATGGCGATCACACTGGGCCTCCGCTAGCCCGGACCAGGGTACCTTGATAACCTTTATCACAGGAGCCACTACGAGTAGCTTACCAGCTCTGTATCCTACATACCATCGATATCACTATTCAGGTCTGCAAATGGCACTGTTCAGCCGCATTGGAACTTACCTAGCTCAAAGGTTCAACGAATGGGAGAATTATCGTAATCTCACTCAGTACAGTGATATCAAAGTCTCCTGTTGTCCTCTCTAGAGACAAAGGCTGACTTCAACAACCATCTCATATACAAGACTTTTGTATTCGAATTCGTCAACAGATTCAATGTGTAGGTCTTTGACTCTAATAGGGCACTATCAGAAGTGGAAGTAGTTACTTCTACATAGCCTTCGTGAAGGCATCTATCGAGGGATGTGTTGAGAAGGTGGAGCTGCCTGAAGGAGGAGGATCTGAGCTCATTAGTGTAGAGTATCAGGCCTGGCCATGGGATGGATCAGTATACCTAGGTTGATGCAGACTCGACTGATAGGAATTGCCTACATGAGCTAACAAGCCAATTACAGACTATACTGCTCATTGAGATAGCCAAGAACGTCATTGAATTAGCTAAGCCTATGATAATGTAATACTACTGTATACGGCTCCCTGACGAGTTCCTCTCGTTCCAACAACGACATCAGGCATAAAATAGCAAGCTATACACGAGAACGGAAGCGTAATGCAGATGGGAATTCATCTAAGTGTAAGATAACAGGCTAAGATAGTATTCATTGGCGGTCATGGCTCAGGTGATGGTATAATCATGATGAACTCTGAGACAGGGTAAGCCGGAGGGGAGGGGAGGTTGAGTCCATTCTAGAGTACCCTTCAATGAGCTCATGGTCATCTTAGTCTCAGCGGGGGATTTCATAATATCAACATGTTGCTAGCTTCTGTGGTGTGTTATATCTTCGCCACCCTCCTCCTCCTCTCATCTCGTTAATGACTGACGGTTTATCTCTCAATGTGGTCGACGAGTCCACAACACTTATCTCCTTCCTATTCTCAGACAAGCTACCATTCCCTTATTTGTCCAGGAGGCTCTGGATAAGCCTACATATGGTACATTGGAAGTCGATGGTAAGGCCATCTTCGTCGTCATCATCATCAACAGGCTCAGTGTATTATATTTCTCAATAGTATACGCCTGTATAGGTACATTCAGTGACTATAGTGAGATGGTCACATTGTATGGTTATATGACTCTATTCTCACTTGCCTTCCCATTGGCACCCGTAATAACATATAGGGAAACCCGAATGTCTACCAGCACCATGGCATTGCCAGTTGATCGGAGTAGCACTAGCAGCACTAGAGACTAGAGTGGATGGGTTCAAGATGTTCCATCTAGTGCGCAGACCAATGCCTGCTAATGCCCCCAACATAGGCTCCTGGTACCAGGGATATAGTAGTAGTGAGGAGAGGTCATAGTGGTAGTAGGTATGGTATACTACAGCTTATGGCATGGGTAACAGTATTCACTAATGCAGCACTGCTAGTCTGGACCTTTAGGGTTTTCGACCAAGCCAATGGCTACTCTCAACTATTCTATTTTGTCATATCCCTCAGTACCATCAAATGTTATCTCATTCTATCCCATAGGTTATCCTGTGCCTCGGTATGATCACCCTCAAGATGGTACTGGTCATTATGGTAAGGGTGCAATAGATCATTAAATTGTTTGCCATGTTATATCATGTCAAAGGCCACCACTACCACCATTAACAGGTGCCAGACGTGCCTGATTCAGTAAAGATAGCTAATAAGCACAATGCCTTTATAGCCCAACGGGTATATATATCAGATGGAGATGTGAGTATCTGGATATCTAGTCAAGGTAGTACTACATTAAAGGTACCTAGAACCCTACGGTCGGTCGATGAGCTAGTGTATACTAGTATTAACAATGCTGGTGGTGGACCAGGAGGGGCTATCAATGGCCTCACTAATCGCGTCTATCGTGACCCTTGTGACTTTGGATGCACAATATCAACCATTACCAAGTATATAAGGGAGAAAGCGTCATCTCCACACTAACATATGTCGTCTTAGACGGTATATGCACTGTCGATGAGGTAGCATACACTCAACAGCATGTTGACAACAAGATATCATGCATTCTATCATCGTCATTCCCATGTACTATTGTGTTGTCGTTCAACAACTTTTTCGACATGATAGTGTATTGTGTTATCCCCGGTTGTGGTTTATAATCTTACTGCATGCTTCCCTTCTAATGCCGAAAAGGAGTTCTCTTCCTCCTCCTATTCCCCCTCATGCTACTGCTGTTGACAATGGAGATCCCGTTGTAGGGTCGCGGCAGAGTGGGTGGTGGTGGTGGTGGTGGTCAACAATACTAAGAGATACCTCTGATTGGCGTGTCCTCCTATGGGTATGGTTGTATTTCCAAATAACATACTATAGTTGGGCATGGCATCCAGCATTCAGTGGTGAAAGCACTACCACCGGGGCCTATGGACTACTACAAGTAAGCCTATATTCCTCTTACAGGTATGTCACTATTTATTATCAGATGCTTACCGCCTTCCTACTGTGTTGTTATTTCTCCTTTGCGGGTGCCACTATCACCCACAACACTATGCATTGCAAGGTACCAAACCCCTTGTCTGTCTGCCATCACCATAGTGGCTCACTTGTATTTAGGTTTTCTTTAATGACACATTGAACCGTATATTCCAATGTGCACTCAGTCTAACCTATGGCCACCCTGTCAGTGAGTTGGATGCTGATAACCTCCCCTGCGTTATATAGCTATAGGTACATTCGTGCCCGGTCATAATCTCTCCCATCATCGGTATACTCAACTACGGATGGATCCAATGAGGACATCGAAACTTCGGTATTGATAGACAATGCCCCTTCAATAGGAGGATGCCTCGCCCCTAGATACTCCTGGAATTTCCTTAACGGGCTACTTTTCCAACCAACAGTGGCTGGGGATGTGCTCAAGGCTGATATAAGGTACTAGCACCACTCTCATCTACTCTCTGCATACCACTTAATAGGTACATACTGGTGCAGCGCGACAATGGTCGACAGTACTATGTTAATGCTGTAAGGGAAGCTTCTACGGTTATATGCATATCAATAGCATTAGCCATCATTGATTGGAAGAGATTCCTCCTCTACTTTTATGTAATACCGTGCAATACATTATAATGTGTCCCGATTCGTATCTTCAGATCCCCCACTTCTTCGCTCAATGGGCTATAGTAGGGATGAATATGCTACAGCATGATGGCTGTGACACAGTACTACCAACAGCACTACTAAACCGATATGATGTGCTGATGCAGGTCGACTACTATGAGCAACGAAAAAATTATAATGCATCACGTAATTTCGTAGGATCATGGCTGAACTATCTCACCTTTAATAACGGCTACCATTCTATACATCATTTGTAATACTTTCATAGTGGCAACAGTCCCGTCGTTCTAGCCTCCACATATTTATCAGATATCCCAAGATGCACTGGTCTAGGTTACCTATGGAGCATAATAAACAAATAAAGCCACATATCCACCCACAACTAGATCAGCAAAGTATCCATCAACTGTGCTTCGTGACCTGCATCGGTTGTTAATACTATTATAGATATCGGGGCATACATTTTCCGTGCCTTCATCTATCCTGGAGTACGATTGAGATATGATGGCAAACCTGTTGAGATAGACAGTGGGTATATGGCAAGGAATGGTCGTCTGAGCCCCTGTGTTTGAGGTACTAAGCCAGAGCCGGCCGATGAAGATTGGGTTACGCAGTATTATCCTAAGGGTAAGTCCTTCAAGGACTATAACGTTACTAAGATGGATGTACTAGATCATATTCATGTAGTAGTCATGGGTCATCTATGTAGGTACTCATGGCTATTGTCAAGCTTTTACCATTTAAGATCATCTGCCCGACCTACTCCGCAGTAACTAAGGTCGATTGATGCTTACTGATCGTAACGCTGCGGCGATTTCTATCACCAACAACAGTATGTGGTCGTAAGAGATGATATTATTGTACCATTCAATCCAGAGCTAGGCTACGGGCATCATCATGTGAGTTATGTATTAGTCTATCCCTACTACAGCATTGAGTTATATTATCCGAGGTGTCCGAGTAGTACAGCATCAGCAGCTGATGAAGGCGGAATGTCAGCTCCTTTATGGTTCCATTGATTCGTCCTTTATCCTCGAGAAGGATGACTAGTGCAGAGAATCTCGCTCCATCATCACATCGAACGATCCACGCGCTCAATGGCGTTCAATAGCTTTATTTGCTGTTTCCTCTAACAATGGCGATCGACTTTCAAGGGCTCCTTTAACGGGTCCAGGCTGACAGGCGGCAAGGGAAGGAGGGCACGATAGCTACACCGAGAGGTGTATCACCACAGCCCGTACGAACTGCGCTCGAGAGGGTACCAATAAAGTAACACAGGTGAGGATGATTATAATAGTGGTGATAACGATATTCTTCTAGATTGCTACTGAGTTCGTATGATTTGCATAGGTACTGCCAGAGTCACTACTAGCCTTTATCATAGGCCAACCAACGAACCGATGTCATCTGGTAGTATCGCGGGACATTCGAGGGCTTAAAGCAAGTCCTATATGGCAGGCTTTAATAATGTTATTAGTGCACAGAATGCTGAGGCTTTCATAGTATTCGAGTAGGAGGAAGTCGAGAATGCTCAATGAGTAACTAATCATTGTCAACCCGACGTAGGGGAATGTGGCAGCTGTTATCTGCAAGATAAGGAGATGATTCAATGTCAGTCATCTTGATAAATTGATTGACGTTTTGAAGCCTCGCACTAAACAGGCTTCTCAGCGGTATGCTCGCGGCCCTGTCTCTTCCTGCATTGAGAGGACATGGACATACGTAGTGATATCTGACCAAACGATATCTTCTCAGAGCCCTACCTGGTCATTGGTTTGAGGAAGCATCCTCTGAGTGTGAACTGGGGTAGGTACCTTATCACACCGGCCAGCTCCCTGTGACAGTCAAGGGCTGTTTACACCCGGTTGCCATGATCTTCGGGGAGCGTTGTCAGAAGAGGCATAGATAACAACTGGAGTGATACGCGTACAGTAGTTATTTCTACCCAATAGCCGGGTAAGCTGAATGTCACCATATGAAACCACCGTGCTATCCTTCTTTTAGCATGACTTGCTGGCTCTATTTGATGGCTTGATGGTATTGTGTTATCATTAGTGTAGGGGGTTATGTGTGTTGACAAGTATCTTGGCTCTGTCTCACGCTTTCATGGATATACTATCTCCGACCACCCCGATAGCGGCAGCTGGGGCATCCATGTTTACCAAGTGCCTCCTGTATCCGGCAGATACCTTGAAATGCCGTGTACAGGCTGGTGTCATTCGGCGTGGCCCTGTGACCCTGACCACACTCTATCGTGGTCTACTACCCAAGCTGGTGCTCTATGTTCCATACCAGTCTCTGTATATGACATCATATCAGTTCTATCGGAGATCTTTTTCTGGCTCGATGCTCGCAAATCAGCACCCACTTCTCATAACAGGCATTTCTGGGGCTCTAGCTGAGATGACTGGTGCGTGCATTCGTCTCCCAATGGAGGTACTCAAGCAGAGGATGCAGACAGGTCGATATGAGAACCTTAGAGTTGCCCTGCGATCGACTATCAAGTAGTACTGCAGGAGGTTGCTAATCTGTATCGAATTCTCAACGCTCAGATCACCACTGGGCTTCATCAATGGCCGAGTGTTCGTAGCTCAGACCATTCTGCATGACATCCCCTTTGGGATCATCCAATGGACAGCTTTCGAGACTATTACCCACCGAGTTGAGACTAAGAGAAGCAATGATGGATCTACTGGACCGTGGGTCCATCTAGCAGCTGGAACACTGTCAGGATCGATAGCGGCTGTACTCACGAACCCGATGGATGTCGTGAAGACTAGAGTCGTCACCACGCCGATGAGTGAGGGAACACCGGCTATATCTAGCGTCATACGATCAATCCACGCTGAGGGTGGTGCTAGGGGATTCCTTAGAGGTTCCCTGTTGAGGCTACTGCATGTTGCCCCCAGTAATGGGGTCTATCTTGCCTTGTTCAGCTTTCTAAACTCCACCCTTGCTAATATTGAATAGCTTCTATGTAGAATATTCCTCTTGGTATATGTTCCTTGCGATATTCCTCGTACAATTCAACATTGATAACTGCTATCATCACTGCGCTTTCCTGTAGGCAACGATCTCTCGTGTTAGTGCACAGTCACGCTTCATTATGCTGCCTGAACAGCATAATGCCTAGGGTAAAACAGATGACCATGTAGTTACACAATCTCACTCTATCCGATATTTCGTCATTGTGATTCACTGATTTCACCCAACACAATACAATTCGTATGCCAATGTACATCCACTACTGAGCGTACTAATCAACGGTCGTCGTCCAGCAATAGGAGATCCCTTCACTGATATTTAGTAGTCAGATTAGGGATAAAATCTTCACATCATTCTACAAGCATTCTATCTCGGTTCTACTAGTATCGCCAAGCATATCTACTTTGACCTGTTGGCGGCAGATGTTGAACTTGTTGTTGTTGTTGTTGATAACGATAGTGTACCTGGGATGGAGGTGGGGTAGGACGAGTATACGGCTCGCTCCCTCCTCTCCCCATATTGGATATGCCAACACTGTGACCATCATAACGATTATAATCCCTCCGTGGAGAAGGTACTAAATCTCTAGTACGATGGTAATTGTCGTATTGATGTTGGTGGTAGGATGGAGGGGCATCCCGACTCGAACCCGAACTACTCCTTCGATCACCCTCACGCATAGTGTATTCCCGACTACTCCCTCTCAAACGGCTAGAGCCCCCTCGAGAGTAACTACCAGGGGTCGTAGGAGCATTCACCCTAGTCGCACCACGAGGGTATGGATCGCTAGGGGAAGAGGAATATTGTTGGTATGCATGATATCGCGATGATGGTGGAGGGGTATTGGGGGGATACTCATATCTCGCTCTATCTATGTCAAAGCCACCACCCCCTCGAACATCACGATCCCAATCGCGGTGAGGTGACGATACTGGCCGATAGTCGTCATCGGGTCGGTAATGATGATGACGAGATCGTCTCTCCCTACTGCGTGAACGGCTTCCTCTCCTTCTACCACTACTATTACGTCCAGCATACTCACGACTATCATGGACTCTAATAGTGGACTCCTCTCTCCAAGTGTTGCCGTTTGTTGTTGTCATTGTTGTTGATACTCTCGTAGAGTCCAATAGTCGTGAGTGGGGACCGCATAGGGGATGCCCCTTCTGCCCGCAGACCATGCAGGTCAGACTAGTGTAATACGCAGGGTCAAGAGATGTACGATAAGCGGCTGTTGGACATGCCTGTGCTGTATCATGACCTTGTTTACGGCAGATAGTACACCACTTCGTACTGCTACATTCGGCTGATCCATGACCCTCCTGAGCACATCTAAAGCATCTCTTCCTCGAGCATACACTAGAATCATGAGACCCTAGACATACCCAACATACTGTCTTATCAGCAGGCTTTTCCCAGTATCTTCCTCCACCACTACGACGGCCGCTTGATGACGTGTGTTGCTTGGTAAAGTGCGAGGCATCTGGATGTTTACGAAGATAAGCAGCAAGATAGGGCAGTTGACCAGTATGTTCCGCCACCTCCCCAGATGAAACTGATACATGTGACTCAGTGGTACTTGTCGTTAGAGTACTCCGAGTGCCTTCATATGGGGTTGGGTCCTCGGTAGGTGTACGACCAGTAGCTGTCCTCGAATCACTAGTCTCATTATTACTACAAGGCTCACTCTCCCCCTCGGTAGTAGTGGTAGAGGGGAAGAGACCACGTACCAGAGCTTCATGAGCAACATCATCATCGTAGGATAGGTTCTCTAGTAGAGAGCTGGAAGAGGAGGAAGTGGCAGATGATAGGGAGATTGGTAGATCATTGACTTGACGAGAGGGATCAGACATTGATATAACCTACTATCAACTATCATTGGAGACAACTCTATTGAGAAAGAATGTTTACAGTGCATCTTACTGTGTTATAATGAGCCCAATATTCTCCCCTCAACCCAAACCCATAGCATGAGGTCTAGAACATGTGCCATTGCCAGCAGGCCAAAGATAATGAGTAGGATGATGACGTGGATTCAACAGCGGACTCAGAAAGGGAGGAGATGGTATCGCCAGCCGCCCAGGTGTGGAATTAATCGCCTCCAGATGGAAGCCTTACAAATGAAACGTGCTCTGCGTAGTGATCATCAACCTAGTACTACTCCTAAAGCCCAAGGTGTATTGTTAAGCATGCAATAAGATTATTGCAATGTCGATATTTGTACAATCCCACAATAGCCAGAATGACAGTTGATCCAAAGCCTGTATTGTATCCTCATCCTGAGTGCTACCCCTGTACAAGAATGCCATCCTCGGTGCTACTCACATCCACAAAGGATTCCCTTCTCGCTACGGATCTCGTGCGTTGCCACTTGATGATTCGAAAGCCTTGGTCATCGTTAGAATCTAGAGCGGCGTCCTCCATCTAAGCCAGAGCACCGTTGTTACAACGATGAAGAGTCCTATACTGCTGTAGAGTATTCCTGTTCCACCTGGGAATATCGCCTATTCGCAAACAGCAGCAGCAGCCTCGGATAGAGTCCAATACCTGCCTACACGACGCAATCTGCCAAGAGTCCTAAGACAAACCAACTGAAGGCGAAGAAAAACCCACATGACGTGCGTTTATGTACTACCTCATCGAACACGAAGAAGAAGGCGACTAATACAAAGATTGGGCGATTGCGCGTGGTCGCAATTTTAAAACTGCAGGCGCCGGGTGTAGAACTTGCGCGGGAATGATGTTATGGGATGTGGATCTTCGGGCGACTAGTAATTTGGCAGGAATTTCCCGTTCTGTACAAGGTATTGGGGAGATGCTAGGTGTCAATAGAGTACACAGTAGCTAGTGATCATCATAGACCTGTCACCGTTAACATCATGTTTGTTCAAGGTTGTTTAGCATGATATTCTACGCCTTTCTTTACAGCTGGGCTTATGTGGCGCTGTTCATCACGACATGCGCTCTCGTATGCATAACAGTATACATGGTAATAATACACTAGGGGAATAACGCTTTGTCGCAGCGGTGCCCCTTGAGTAGCACTGGGAGCACCTTAGTAGAGATGTGATATTCTCAGTTGGGGGAATTCGGAGACCTAGAGAGTGACTACACGAATCCTGTTGATTTTTGCAACACAGCTAATCAGGTAACGACTCTTCATTGGTTTAAGTTTATCATATCGTTCAGGCGGCCCGTTATGAGTTTGCATTAATAGTGGCAACAGCAATACTTCTTCTCTGCGCCTTCGATTGGATAGGATTGCTTGTGTTCGTACCCTTCACTGCGGTCATGCTGAGGGAGTACTACACACGGCGGTAGGATGGCTCACTTTACTCTGGGATCTCCAACTCTATGATTCACAGATACCTCTTTGATAGCACGCTCCTGTTCAAAGGAAAGAAGCTTGAGCACCACAAGAATTGGTAATAACATTATTAAACGATTGAGTGACGCATGGATATATCATCATCATCTTCTTCAGGAGTGCCTTCCGTCTGGTCTTATATGTCGTCCTTTTCGTCTATCTAGTGTTCAGGCTTGTCCAATCGATCGTAGCGTATGGTATCGACTCGAAGTACACTCTGTTCGGTCCTCATCATTAACTCTTAGTATCACCATTAGCAATGCTTCACAGATATACTTCATACTATTCCTGTTCATATCATTATGTTTCTTAAATGTGTTGCAGTAATCTGAATGCATATATGTTACTGTTATCCCTCATTTGTCAATCAGAGGGGTAGACTTGGTAATTGATCGAACACAACCAGTGAGATCTAGCACTATACAAATATTGTATGAACCGTATCTCATGCATGACACAGAACAGATGTGAATATATTTTGAAGACGCAAAATGAGTCACAATTACGAATCGAAGTCTTCGTCCCGACATCATGCTATATGGTACCAACGCATTCTACAACCGTGGCATTCACTACATGGCAACCCTGCCTAACAACACAACTGGGTTTCTAGTGTCGAGAATGCATTGAGACAAAAGATGGTATTAGTTCACTATTATCACAACGGTCATCGTCCTGTGCAGGCCATGAGCATTATTATTATTATTATTCGGGCTAGAAACCATTCCTAGTGGATGCACGGTGGGTACACTGAGGACATCTTACTACCCATAGGTGAGGGGTAAGGTGGCGGTGAGGATGCAAGAGGGGATGGGGTTGCTGTGGATGGAGTCTGTCTTGATAGGAGTATCTTGGCCCGTAGATTTAATACAAGTTCACATTCAGAGCCCAGATGGACTTCAGCAAGAGCAGCAGGCAAAGAGCCCAACTGTTCCAATCCAGGAGCATTTACAGCTTGGAGCACCTATAGAGATGTGGAATGAGTTTAATGCGAATACTCTGTGACCAGTACTTGGAAGAGACCCTCAATCGAGGTTCTGACTTTATTCAACTCCGTAACAGCTCGTAAAACACCATCAGTGAGAAGTCTATGATGACGAATGTATGTTGGCGATCCAATAGGCCTCTTTTGGTACTCCACAGGTATCTGAGACGTCTCTATGGCACATATAACCATTCTAAGTGGATTACTTGCTTATCATGCTGTTTGAGTAGCTTCCGCATACCAGCTACGTTAATGTCAATATAAGAAAGTAGTTCATTAGCTTCCTCTGTAACAACTTCTAACTCGCGAGCCATATCCGCCGCCAAGGCCAATGATCCCGACAAAATCATAGTCAATTGGGAGTAAGCGGCGCATTGCACTAAATACCCGCTCAGTAAGCTCCCTAGCTGGGACATCACAACGCATACCTGAAATGACAATCTTCTGCGATCATCGCTGAGCTGGCAGCAGCAGCATCAGCTTTGCATGGAGACAGAGTCCATTTACTACCTGAGACAGTGTGGAGCTGAACATTGCATTAGGTGGTTGACCGTCCTGATCGATCAAGCCAGCTTGCTGAGCTCTAACTACTAAAGCTGCAACGCCACGGGCTAGACCCTCCTGTTTGGTGCCAATATAGGTAAGCATAGCCTCTACGTCTGAATCCATCGTAGCAAAGAAGTGACCGTCCATTATACGAATGGTCTGTGGAGAGATGATGAAAGCTCCATCATCCACAACAGAGTCTCCCTACCTCTTTGCTTGATTGAGCCTCCTCGGAATCCTTAATTTCCGTATCATTCAGGGAGCGTATCTCGCGAACCTGTCGGCTGAGTATCTCCTTCAAATGCTTATGTGAGATGAACGGGGCATCTTCGATATCGTTTTGAAGGGCTAATGCAAGTTTCCGACCAAATCTCATAGAGACATTAATGTATGTCCAAACTGAAGGCCTAGCTACTGCGGGCAACAGTCCACTTCCACTCAAAAGTCATTACCCACATGGAAACTTCTATAGCATGACGTCGGCATTCACAGCTCAGACAAGAAGTTGAATCGGGGCGAAAGGATAGACGTAGGACTGTCGTAGGAGCTTGTTCTAAATTGGGCAGATAACACTTGATTGACGGGGCGTAGTAACCTCCTACTAGTTTGTCTAGCCTACGTGATCTTAGCACGCAGGGCAGTGTCTCTCTGAAGAAGCATTGTCTCTCTACCAGACCCTAAAGCCGATCGGAGCTGAACCGTCATTACTCAGATTCCCGTACACGCTTTGAAGCCCTACCATTTTATGTTCCGGCCTCTTCCTAACGTTGAACAGGTTGGTCTCAACTGCTATAGAGAAATTAGCTTCCCTCACGACGACAGCCCTAGAACCATCCGCCTCCCCACCGGGTGGAGATGCAAGCCGATCATGATGGAATTTGATGATTCGACCAGCGCCCGGTATCCACTTGCCAATTTCAACAGGAGATTGTGTTACTACACACCTACCGAGCTTCTTAGTTGATACTAGGGCATTGGGGTACTCACGTTTCAATTTGGACTACCTGAAACACATCCACAAGTTTGATTCCATCTGTCTAACATTACGACTTTCCAACTAGGGGATCCACTGTCAGAATAGTGTCGAGTTTCAGTCTCGTCTGGCATTCCTGCATTGCGTAGAAGCTTAGAATGCAGCTACGAACACATCCTAATATGCCCGGTGTAGAACAACCTCGGTGAAGTCATAGTTACAAAACTGGGGATGCTACTCCGATCGATCCCGACATGCAAAGTTCTATCCATCCCAGTTTATGCCGCCCCGTTTATGATGTACTCATGAACTCAACAACGCAAGAGCCAGAGTATCAAGACTCGTCTGCCAAAGATCTGACGTTCCGAGTAGCACATCGAGATATTACACTGCTATCCACATTCCAAGGACAATCGGTAAGGCGTATAGGGCATGGCAGGCCTTTCGGTATGTCTCTCACGTTCCGACGTTCTCCAGTTCCATCGATCCATAAATTCCCTGTGTATCGCAAACATGAGAACACTTACTCAGCAAAGCGGAGTCCGCTCAGCGCAACTCACCCGAAAGGTTTGGTCGAAATCGAAACGGAGCGCAGCGGCTCGTGAACGACATTTTTGCTATTTCAACATGTGTGTGTGACATCGCAGGTTCCGCAGTTAGTGGAATCTCAGGATTGTGAGTGCACTACTCAGTCCTACTAAGAGCCAAATTGGTTCTCGCGATTTGTTCTACTCGGAGTTATTTCGGTTGTGCCAATTTGTCCACAGGAGTACCTCGAAGCAATTGATTAAACTTGGACATATCTCGAGATGGCATAGTTTCTCCCATCCAGGGAAATTGATTGTACTAGGGCATATCTATGGGTGCCATAGTTGCCCCATAGGGAGGAATTGACTGTACTAGGGCATATCTTGGGGTGGCATAGTTGCCCCATCGGGAGGAATTGACTGTACTAGGGCATATCTTGGGGTGGCATAGTTGCCCCATCGGGAGAAATTGACTGTACTAGGGCTTATCTTGAGGTGGCATAGTTGTCCCATCGGGAGAAATTGACTGTACTTGAGCATATCTTGGGGTGGCATAGTTGCCCCATCGGGAGAAAT